TCTGACCCCGCCCCCTCCCTCCCCCCCTTTACTTTTTTTTACTTCGAAACAACACCAGGAGCAGGGTCCCCACTTCTCCAGATTCTTCATTATTGATCCTTGATTACAAAGATCAACATTCAGGGAGGAAGGTTCCAAATAAGTGGGACTTCAACCACATGCGGTTAACAGGGACCCCCACTTTTCAGCCCCAGGTTAACTGACCCCCCCAGCCCTGAGCCAGTTCAGAGCCACACTGGCAGCCCGGCTACCAGTGCCTTTGCGGGAAACTGACTTCCTTTGCAACTGCCGACACAAACTGGTGGTTTAAAACCACCACCAGTTCACGGCATCGCATTTTCAGCGGGCCAGCACAAGTGCAACAAGCCAGATTCAGGTACCCTTCCCCTCCCGCTGCCCCCCCTACAACATCGAATTCATGTGCAACAACGGGCTCAGGACCAGCGCGTCTCGGCGGGCCCCCTATACGGCCACGACTTTTGGAAGTACTGGTGGTTTAAGAAAGATACCTTTGCAGAAGCAAGCATAAATTTCATGAGCCATTACAATGGGCCTCACTCCACCGCTCACCACTCTATAATGTCTACATGCATTTGGACACTTTCGGGACTCCACCACTCACCACCCTGTCTGCATTTGGACGTTTTCTCGACCAGATGCATTTAAAATCTTGGAGTCGTCCAAATGCACCTGGTCCCAAAAGCGTCCAAATCATCCCAAATGCATGTAGAGTGATGTGTAGTGGAGGGAGGGGCTGGGAGTCATCTATCCGCCTGTTGGTTATATTGTCCCCTATTGTGATTGGATCTGGGAGTGGTGGAAGGAAAAGTGGAAAACCTACCTGTCAAGCCACCAGTTCATTTCCCAGCTAAGAAAATATGTGGCTTGCCGCACCTTTCGGGGCTCTGTCGCCAAAGCAAAACGGCTGCCAGCGCCAGCCAAAAGGAGGCCCTCACCAGTTGGTTTTCCTTGGCACGCAGCGCATTTTCAGTTCCGAAGAAAAGTACCTCGGACATACTGGTGGTTTAAATCAGACAGCGGATTGGTCCGACAACTTCATCTTGTACGGCGGCGAACTCCTCACAGAAGGAGCTTTGCCTTCTCTTCGGGGTCGAACTACGTGGCTCTAATACCCAGAGGGGTAATAATGGAAAGTATATGGGCGGCGCACAATGCCCCCCCAGATCTTCAGAGCCAAAAAAACACTCCAATCAACAACTTTTTAATCAAGATGTAAGGACCTGCCACAACACGGACTGAGAACACAGCTGATTTCTGAGTTTTGCCGCTGGAATGAATGCCTTGCTGAGATTCCCACCTTTTGTTGAGTTTTCTAAGTCTGTGTATGTGACGAGCGCGGAGCTGAGGGAGAGCCGAGGGAGAGGAGAGAGAGAGAGGGAGAGAGTGAGAGCACACACACACACTCACTCACTCAACATGACTGAGGGTCGGACGCAGACACAGTGGCAAGGGCACAAAATCGAGGTCTTGGATTCCGAATGCCGAAACAGCAAGTCACACTGAGTACGAGTACAGCAGCAGAAAACTGGTACGAGACTGGTCCCCATACTGTACGGGGAGCCGGTATAAGTACCGGTGACACGGTACCAGGGGCATTTCCACAAAAGCCCCGAGGGCAGAACTGAAAAATGTCGTATTTGAAAGTGGCGCCCGAATCGCAGCATGGCGCCAGTTGTCCAAAATCCGACGTTACCAAAGGAGGGGTTTGGAAAAAAAGGGTGCCAGACCGAAAACGGGATGCAGCAGAAACAGGAAAAAGGTAGACCAGGGATCGAGCCCTGGCGGAGTCCGTAACACTATCCCCTCCCTCTGAAAGGCAACATCCCGGCTGCCAAAAAGCCAAGGAAACAAAAGGAGCTGTGAAGGACGGGACGGGGCCGAGCACTGGTAGGAGAAGGAGAAGGGGAGTGATGCAAGTCACAGGGTATTCTGTCTGGTGTTCTGCACAAGTGAAGGTATGATGTAACTGGGTGGGTCTATAGGGGAAGCTAAGCAATGTTCAGGGAACAGGGGATTTCTATTGATATTCTACTGGGTAGGGGAAACGATGTTCAGGAAAACAGGGAATTTCTATTGATGTTCTAGTAGGTAAGGGAAACAATGGTCAGGGGAACAAGGAATTTCTATTCATGTTCTAGTGGGTAAGGGGAATAATGGTCAGGGAAACAGGGATCTGCTAATGATGTTCTACAGGGTTGTCAAAGCAGAATCTCATGTAGGAACAAAGTGTCCAAGTGTCTTGAAAGGGGATCTGCAGCGGTCTTGATCAGGTCTTAAAGTAGGCGGTAGAAGCGGTCTTCAGCGGCTGCGACAGGTAGAAGTCCAAGAAGCGTCACAGCAGTTCAAATGTCCAAAGTCCAAGTGCTAGTGTGTCCGGTACACGAACTGCAATGAGGTATGATCTGGAAGCAAGGAAGTCGCAGACTGTTGCAAAGATCCATGTCACAAGTTGCTGCTCCAGTAAGTCCGCGAGTCGGGATGCTGGCCGATGAAACAGCATGGTGGCCAAACCAGCTGCATAATCTCCATGAACAGTGAGGCAGCAGGCCATTGTCCTCGTGCGCTTGCCATTAGATCCTTTATCGCCGGCAACACGCAGGTTCATAAGCATTCGACGAGAGAGACAAGGTAGTGGAGAGGACAGATGGGACAAGGCTAGGCGAGGGCAGGGGCAGATCAGACATCAGGAATCGGGGTCGAGGGGAGGGTGGACTGGGTTCAAGGGTGTGTGTAGAACGGGGTTGCGAGGTTGTAGCAAGGTTTATACAGGGGTTTAGGGTTGTAGTTACGTGGGTGTCTAGGACATAGGAGTAGCACGATCATAGGCGCGAACGAGTTTCATGGCATTCTTGAGATTCGAGAGAGGTTCCTATGTAGATTCTTCGTCGGGGTATCCAGTCCATTTGACTTCGTATTCAGTGCTTTTGGTTCCGGGTGGTCAGATACCTGAGTAGGTCGTCGACCTATGATTGCTTCAACAACGAATTCAGCGCCTGTGGGTAACATGATAGGTGAGGTCTAGGATATGGGCGGTCAGCGAATTGGGGTGAGGATTCATGAATATTCTTTCAAGTATTCGATGTGGAAGACCGGGTGGACGCGGCTCATGTCGGGGGGGAGTTGGAGTTTGTAGTTGACATCGGAGGTTTTTCCAATGATGGGAAAGGGTCCGAGCCATTTGTTCGAGAGTTTCTTTGACAATCCATTTTCGGGTTCAAAGCGTTTGGCGCCGACTTTGAATTGCAAGTCTCGTCTGTGTTTGTTGGTTTTGTTTGCTTGTTGTTCTTGTGTTCTTTCGAGGGCTTCGGTTGCTTCTCTGAGGAGTCGATTCATTGTTGCTACCCATTCATTGAGGGAAGGGCAGGGTGTGGAGGGGTTAGTTGCGAGGGAAGCAGGAAATCAGAGGGCAAGCGCGAATGGTAGTCAAGGTTAAGGTAGAATGGAGACATGTCAGTGGAAGGACAGACAACGTTGTTGTAGGCGATCTCGGCGGCGGTGAGCAACTGATCCGTAGGATTCTTTGGAGAGTATCGTTCATCTTCTCGGTTTGTCCATCGGTCTGTGGGTGGAATGCAGTGCTATATTTGAGTGTAGTTTCGTAGGCGTTAAAGAGTTGTTTCCAAAACTGTGACAGGAAATGGGGATCGCGGTCACTGATGATATTCTCGGGGAGGCCGTGGTGGCGTGCAACATGGTCGAAGAAGAGTAAGGCGATGTCTTTGGCGGTGTGCGAGGTGGTGCAAGAAATGAAGTGGGCGCGTTTGGTCAGGCGGCAAACAATGACGTAGATGCAATCATGCCCGCAGTCGGTCTTAGGGAGACCGCACACGAAGTCCATGGAAATTGACTGCCACCGGCGAGTGGGGATGGGCAAGATTGGAACTGCCGGGTTTGGCCCGGTTCAAGGGATTGACAGCCTGACACGTGGGACATGAGCGAATGTATGTTTTGAAGTCGGCGAGTAAAGAAGGCCAATAGAAGTCGCGGGAGATGGTATCGAAGGTTTTCTAGAAACCGAGTTGACCTGCGATCTTGGCGTCGTGGTGCTCGGCCAAGAGCTGGGTACGGAGACCACGTGTGTCAGGGATGCAAAGTCGGCGAGTGCCTTTGGTGTCGATGTAAAGGAGGTTGTCGTGGAGGGAGTAGTCAGGGACCGAGTCGAGGTTGTGAAGCTTGTTGTAGATAGAGGCGAAGTCTAAGCAAGAGAGGTAGCCTTGGGTGTCACGGCGATGGAGTGATGGGAGGAGTTGAATGTGAGTCATGGCAGCATAGACCTTCTCGGGAGGCTTGTGGTCGGGGCGGCGGGAGAGGGCGGCGGCGACACGGTTGCTTTTGTCGGGTGTGTGGCAAATGGTGAATGTGAATTGGGCAAGGAAGTCGATCCATCGAGCTTGGCATGAGGTGATGTCTTTCTTGGTGAGGATGGAAGAAACGATGGTGTTATCAGTGCGGATGGTGAAGTATTGCCCGTCGAGGTACGGGCACCAGACTGTGAGGGCGTGAATCATGGCGAGGAGTTCCTTCTCATTGGAAGGGTAATTCATCTCCGCGGGAAGGAGCTTCTTGCTTGCGATAGTTGTCGGGTGGAGCCTCGGGGTGAGTGGGCGAGTCCTTGATGGAGGGGGTCTCGGCGGTGCCGCAGGGGAAATGTTGGGATAGTACAGCTCCAATGGCGAAGTCGGAGGCATCAGTCGTGACATAGAAATGGCGAGTGGGGTCGGCGATCTTGAGAACAGGGGCCGTGGTGATGGTTTGCTTGAGGAGGTCGAAAGCGTATTGGCGGCGATCGTTCCAATTGAAGGGTTCGTCCTTGCGTGTGAGTTCGTGGAGACGGTAAGAGATACCGGAAAAATTGCGAATGAACGGGCGGTAATAGTTGGCAAGGTCGAGGAAGGAACGAAGTTGGAGGAGGGTCTTGGGCGGGGGGTACTCGACGAGGGTTGTGACCTTCGAGGGGTCCATACGGATGCCTTCAGCGGAGACAATGTGGCCAAGGTATTCGACGCTCGAACCAACAAACGTACATTTGTTGATCTTGGCGTAGAATTTTTGCTCTCGGAGGATCGAGAGGACTTGGCGAATGTGCTGAAGATGGGACTCGAAGGTGGAGCTAAAGATGAGGACGTCATCAAGGTACACGACGACACAGACTTCGAGGAGGTCACGGAAGATGTGGTTCATGGTGGACTGGAATGTGGCGGGGGCATTGGTGAGTCCGAAAGGCATTACGAGGAACTCGTAGTGCCCGAACCGACAGCGGAATGCAGTCTTGTGGGTGTCCTCCTCGCGGATACAGATCTGGTGGAAACCACTGCGGAGGTCGATCTTGGTGAAATATTTGGCTCCACGCAAGCGATCAAGAAGTTCAGATATCCGGGGCCCGGGGGAGTGGGTACTTGTTCTTGATCGTGATCCGGTTCAAGGCACGGTAGTCTGTGCACATGCGGAGTTCCGAGGTGTCGTTCTTCTTGACAAAGAGGCAACTGGTTCCGAAGGGGGAGAAGCTAGGCTTAATGAATCCTTTTTCAAGGAGTTCATCGAGTTGGCGCTTCATTTCTTCGGCCTCGGGGACGGAGAGTTGGTACGGAGGGCGACAAGGAGGAGAATGGTCGGGCTCGAGATCAATGGTGTGGGATACACCTCGATCGGGAGGTAAACCGGCGGGCAAGGACTCGGGGAAGACGTCCTTGAATTCAAAGAGGAGAGCGGTGATGTGAGGACTGGAAGAGGGGTCTTGGTCGGGTTTGTCCGTTGGAAGCAAGTCCTCCGGACGCTCGTGGTCGATAACAAGACAATAGTAAGCGGAGTCGGGTGTTCACGAGACATGTGAAGGAACTAGTGAGGGGAGACAAGGGGTGGGGTAGAAGGGGGGAGAAGGTAAGGGATATCAAGAGGAGAGTCAGGAGGGTGGGTGAGTCGGACGACGGAGGGGTGGAAGGAGTAGGACATGAAATGGTCAAGCCAGGGGGTCCCCAGGACGATGCCGCACATGAGGTGCATGACATTGAAGGAGACCTGACTGCGAAGAGGACCGGCAGTCACGAGGGTCTCGGGGACAGTGCGATCGACAACGATGGTTGAGTCCTTAGCCCCTAATCGAATGGTGATCGGGGAGTCAAAGCTGGTGGAAGAGAGGCCGGCTTTGCAGACACAGGCTTCGGTGATGAAGTTGTTGGTGGCACCAATATCAAGGAGGGCCCGGAACTTCACCGTCGATGCGTCAAGGGAGACGGCGATAAACTTGAGCTGGAACCGTGCGGTTCCGACACAAGCAGAAGAGATCATGGTGTTAAGGCGGCGTTGTTCCAAGCCTAATCTAACAAGCCGATCGTGTCGTGCTTGTTCCTCAACGAGATCGGAGAAGGTGGTGGAGGAGGGGTTAGGGATGAGAGTAAAAGAGCAGGGGATACCAGACGTCGTCGGAAGGGGGGCAGGCGGAGTAGATTGCGTCGCCTGGGGGTCGTCCGATGGGATGTGCATCACCGAGGAGGGGGTAGGCAGACGGATAGTCGATGCCAAGTGGGCCACCGGTGGAGTAGAGATCGTTACCGATGGGAGAGTCGGCAGACAAGTGGTCGATCCCGGGGGAGGGTTGCAAGAGTCAGGGGAACAGTGTTCAAGTGGAGGAGGGCCCGGATGTCACGGTGGAGGGAGAAGTGGAAGTAGAAGGGTCGGGTCCCGTGGAGCGAGGGGCCTGTCGAGTAAAAGCGGCTAGCGTTGGGGCAGTTGGTCTGTTGATGACCTAACTGGCGGCAGCGAAAATATATGTCGTGTTCCTGGAGGTCTATGCGTTCTTCGGGTGTGAGTTTCTGGAGACGACGGGGTGGAGAGGAAAAAGGCGGTCGGGAGGCACGAGCCTGGCGTTCCATCCGCATAAGGTGGGCGGCCTTGAGGTCCTCAAGGGTGAATTGGGAGGGGTCGAGAAAGGCAGTGTCGAAGTCATCATCTGAGGTGGATGGAGTGGTGTCGTCAAGGGTGATGTTATGGAAAAAGCGGGGCGGGAGGGAGCGGGCGTGGATTGGTGATGGGGGTGGAGGAGTCGATTGTGGTGAAGCGTGCGAGAGAGGAGGTCGGCAAGGGGCATGTCAGGTTCGTGGGCAAGGGCGGTTGCAAGATCTTTGTGGCATACTCGCTTGATGCGGGAGATGAACGCAAAGTCGGGAATGACGGTGGTGGGAAGGTGATGGCGGAGGGAGCGGGGGACCGGTCTGGCGGAGGGAGCGGTGGGACCAGTCTGGCGGAGGTGACAGAATTGTTCGAGGCAGTCATCAATGGTTTTCTGGGGGCGGAAGGTGGCAGTGAGAAGGTTGGCCCATTGGAGGAAGGAGTGACGCGGTCCTCCGGAGGCGCAGCGGTTGCTGACTTCGGCCATCCACCATTTGGCGGCATTTCGAGGAGGCGGGAGGTGGCAATGGGAAGCCAGTGGACAAGGGGCATGTGGTGGAGCTTGAAAGAGTTTTGGAGCTGGGTAAGGAAGAGGAAAACGTCCTCGTGGGGAAGGCCGGAGAAGGGCATGATGTCGGCGGATCAGGAAGGAACGGGGGATTTCCCCTTCGCGGGAAACGATCCGGGCGAGGGTATTGAAGTTGAGGTTATCGGGGGTAGTGTCGTAGCAGGTGTAATCGAATTGGTTGTTGTAGTCAAGGAGGTAGTTGGGGGAAAGTTGTGGCGTTGCAAGGTAAACCCCGGAGGTGACTTGGGAATAGGTGGGATGGGGGGTGGGGATGTGGAGGTCGTCATGATGGGTTGTGAGATAGTATGGAAGTGTGGGTGGGGAAATGGGGTGACGTGGTTAGGCGAGGAATGAGGCGGTGTGATGGAAGCGCCAGATGAGGGGGGCGGAAGGGTGGAGGAGGCAGAGGTGGTGGATGTGGTGGCAGAGGTAGTAGGAGTGGAGGAGGTCGGTGGGGGGGTGTGGCTGGAGGCGGCTGTGGACGTGGGGTTGGTGGTGGTGACCACCTGGATGGAGGGGGTAGTGGTTTGGGACTCGAGGGCGGTGGATGTGGGCACGGTCGTAGAGGTGGGTGCTGTGATTGTCGGGGTTTGATGCTCGATAGAGGTCACACGGTTATATAGGCCAGAGATAGTGGTTTCGATTTTGGTGATGGACGCGCGGATGTCTGTTTGGAAAGAGGACATCATGCGAATGAGGGTGGCGATATCGGTGGCAACTGGCTCGGATCTTTATTCGCCCGTAAGTTCGCGAGCAAGGCTGTCAACAGACTGGGTGTTGATGGTGGTCATATCGATGCTGGAGGATTGGGCCATGTTGGGGAAGATGGAGTGGATGCAGTGGCTGAGGCGACGACTGCGGATGAGGTGGAGGCAGACGCGGCGGCAGCGGCGGCGGTGGCGGCGGCTGCGCATTCGGAGGTCTTGGTTTGGCGTGGTGGCATGTGGAGATTTGGGAGTGGTAGTGGGTGGGGAGGGTATTTACAGCATTAATTGATTTATTCAAAAATAAGTAAAGGTATTTGCCAAAACAATAAATGAATAAAATGGGAATTAATTCAAAATAAATTATTCTGATTTGGAGTAATTTATTCGAGATTAATTCGAAAATTCGAAAAGAATTTCGCTGGAGAAAAGTTGGAAACACAAAATTTTCAGAAATGAAATAAATGCTGAAAATACTAGGCTACCAGCCGGGCCGCCCGGGTCCCGGGTGGCCATCCCGTGCAAGGACTCCCA